ACTTGTAGTGGGAGAAGATGACATGGCCACCGACGTCGTAGAGCTGGGGAGGTGTTAGAGGGGGTAGGTCAATTGGCGGTGGGGGTACTCACGAAGCCCTCTGGAGTGACATCGGTCGAAGCCAGACCACCGGGCGTCTCATTGGAGTCGACGATCATCCATGAGGGGCCATCCTGTTGTTGTTAGCACATGCCCCGCCACTTGGACTCTGTGTTGAGCATACAATCTGGTGGAGGCGCTTTGCTGCTCCAAGACCGGTCGGGCCAGCGCCGATAACGAGCACGTCGACCGAACTATGGCATTGTCAGCTCGTGCTCAGCAGGATGGCGTGTGGGTGGGCAGGCGGTGAACATACATTTCTTCCTTGGCGGATCCCATCTTGCCCTGTAGTATTTCCTGAAAACTCGGAACGCGCTTCAAAGTCTGGCGGGCGTAGTTGAGCATGTACTCTACGGGCGAGCAGCACTTGTAGTTATAGAGAGGGTGTGGAGCAGAGGCCAGACGTTTGGGGCGTGGTGGAGGAATATAGCTGGCGATAAACTAGGGACGCCAAGGCGATGCTGCGTTAAGTGGGTCCAGGGTAACAGAGGGCCAGCCGCCGAAGGACTCGGCTGGGGAGAGCTTGGGGGCTTCAGACGGCCGCGCTGCAACGGCGAGAAAAGGGGCAGGCCGCCATGGGGACCGGCGATCTGGCTGGACATGGCTACTCGTGGGCGCGTTGATTCAACTTGATTGGTGCCGGCCGTCTGCTTCACCACTCGTGCGTGCAACATGTTCATTGCCCATCCATGGCCTGCCTCGAGGGCCGTGATAGTTGCGTTGCGTTGCCCGTGTGTCACCATGGCCTCTGCACGTTCCCGCGGGTGGAGCCTCAATCTGGCGGGCTGCAGCACATGGTGAAGCTTGACCGACTCTATCTCTGGGGGACTACAGCCTCAGATCAACGACGCATCGACTTGGTGTCGTGCTAGTGCCCCGGTGCAACGACGCCTGTGTGCGAGAGTAGTCTGCATACCCCTAACGGTGCGCCTCACCCTGCGCTCCAGCGACGCGGCACAGCTCCTGCAATGTAAACCGTTGCGCGTGGCAGCAGCGAGAGTGCGCGATGTGCATGAAGCTGTCACTTTTCTACATATATGTGGGACCGGTGTCTTCGGCGCCTCTCTGCAGGGTGCCAGTACGCGTACACACCTACACAAGCAAGTGCAAGAGGCGGCTCAAAATTTCGGCGCCATTGATGGGAGTGCGCGCCGCTGTGGTCGATTGCGCGTCCACTCAGGGCTCCACAGCAGATCAGTTTCACCTCATCGAGCACTTGCAAAATCCCGCGCGGCTCCTGGCAAATCTTCATCTGGCCTCATATCAGCTCTAGTACATAGTCGGCCGTTGCCCAGTGATAGCACGCCTAAACCAGAACCCCCCCCTGTGCACCGGCTCTAGAAGTCGTCTGGCTGATTCCCGCTCCGCCCCTCCCCTTCCCTAGCGCAGTCGAGGTATTAGTACCGTCACATTTACAAGTGCTCCCAACACTTCTCGTCGCTCTTTATCTCCTCATTGCTCCAGCGCTGTTACAGCTGCTTCGTGTTGCTTGTGCCACGCTTGTCCCTTGACGCGCAACACCCGCCATCAGTCAGCAGCGCTAGCCCACTGCTACTGCAACCTTGCAACTTGCATTCCCAGCGCCGCAACCACCTCCTTTGACCTTCACCCAACACCTCTACCGTCCCTCGTTAGCCACCACCCGCAAATATGTCAGACGAGAAGATGAGATCCTCGGTCGAGGCCTCGCGCGACACAGCGCTGCCTGTGCTGCCGACTGTCAACCCCGATGCGCAGAAGCCAGCCCCCGAGGCGCCATCTTTCCACCCTGCAGTATACATTGCAACATGGATCTCGCTCAGTTCCAGCACAATCGTCTTCAACAAGTACATCTTAGACACAGCCAAGTTCCGTACGTCTGCTCTACTCCGTCGCAACACCGCATCCTAACACACCGACAGACTACCCCATCTTCCTCACAACATGGCATTTGGTTTTTGCGACCGTCATGACCCAGATCCTCGCCCGCTTCACCACCGTCCTCGACTCCAGGAAAAAGGTGCCCATGACCGGACGCGTATACCTGCGAGCCATCGTCCCCATCGGTATCTTCTTCAGTATGAGCTTGATCTGCGGTAACCAAGCATATCTATACCTGAGTGTGGCCTTCATCCAGATGCTGAAGGTATGTTATCCACGAAAATGGACCTGTAGCAGCTACTGACCCCAACAGGCTACTATGCCCGTCGCTGTCCTCATCACCACCTGGAGTCTCGGAGTTGCGCCTGTCAACCTCAAGACCCTCGGAAACGTCTCCTTCATCGTCATCGGTGTAGTCATTGCCTCGTTGGGAGAGATCAAGTTCGTCATGATTGGTTTCCTCTTCCAGGCCGCTGGTATCGTCTTCGAGGCTGTCCGTCTGGTCATGGTCCAGCGCCTTCTCAGCGGTGCCGACTTCAAGATGGACCCCCTCGTATCCCTCTACTACTACGCCCCTGCTTGCGCCTTCATCAACGGTGTTATTCTCATGTTCACTGAGCTTCCCAAGATGTCTATGGCTGACATCGACCGCGTCGGTCTTATCACTCTGCTGGCCAACGCATCCGTCGCTTTCTTGCTCAACGTCTCCGTCGTTTTCCTGGTACGTTTTCTTCTACACACTCCACAAACATTCACTGACACATCTTCAGATTGGCAAGACCTCCTCGCTCGTCCTTACCCTCTCCGGTGTACTCAAGGACATTCTCCTCGTCTTTGCATCCATGTTCCTTTTCAAGGACCCCGTCTCTCCTCTCCAGGCTTTCGGTTACGCCATCGCCCTTGGTGGTCTCGTCTACTACAAGCTCGGCGGAGAGAAGCTGAAGGAGTACCTCGGCCAGGGCAGCATGAAATGGCAGGAGTTTGGCCACACCCGCCCCGTCCTCCGCAAGTTGATGGTCTTCGCCGCCGTCATCATTGGCATGTTCCTCGTCCTTGGCTCTCTCGGACCCCGCTACGCCCCCGACTCGACCAACCAGGTCTACAACGGCATCGGCAAGCTCATTGGCGACAAGGCTGTATGAAGAACTGGTTCCTTCTAAAATCGGTCTTGGCCATTTTCTAGCTGGGAGTAGGCCTACTTGCAGTACGCTGGTCTATCTCATTTTCCCTTCCCCCTTGTCGTTTTATCGTTAGCTTGGAGCGGGCTTGGAGTGTACGGTGACCGGTGTTTATACGCATAGACGAGCAGGAGCTTTCATGCCGACGGAGCCTTCTTTGATGCTTTTTGTGGTTCGGTACGCGACTGGTGTCAATCGCATGTCAGGGAGCAATGACAGGAAATGATTAAGTAACACGTTTTTGGCACATAGATCTTGCAGGCATCACAGAACTGCGAGCGAAAGTATATACTTGTAGCTATATAATTGGTAATGCCGTGGAGCATCCGATGCATTTCTTCCACTGTACTCGTGATGTCTTTGACGACAAATATTACGGGCAAACTACGATAACGAAGATACGACTACTAGAACGGGATCGCATGTAGAATACGCTCACGTACGTGGATAATAATTATCGATTATGATGTTCTATGCTGTCGTGCTGTGATGCATGCGCGGCCTTCGCTCCTGCCCAGTGGAGTTCTGGAGTTCTCGCTTCGCACGGGCCACACCACGCCAAGCTGCCCTTTCCTGCCAAATTCGAATCGCGAACTTCAGCTTCCTCCCTCAGTCGTTACTAACCCACAGCACAACACGCTCAAAATCAGTCAAGATGGGAATCGACCTCGACCGCCACCATGTTCGAGACGGGCACCGCAGTATGTGATCCCCCGTCGAGTCGGCGCAGCAATGCGCTGGCGACAGCTGTCTTTTAGACGCAACATGAAGCCTTCGAAGGAGAGAGATTGACGAGTATACAGAGGTCCCTAAGTCCACCAACCCCTACGTCAGGCTGTTGGTGCGCCTTTACAAGTTCCTGGCTCGTAAGTACCTTACTTGACGAATGCGCATATTGTTTGTGCTAACAGCAGACAGGCCGTACCGATGCCAACTTCAACAAGACCGTTCTGCGACGCCTCATGATGTCGAAGACCAACCGTCCCGTAAGACGAACGATCGCATAATCGACAGAACAGCGCAACTAACACAGTACAGCCGGTCTCCGTCTCCAAGATCGTCGCGAACGCCGCCAACAAGCACTCCGCCAAGGAGCACGCCGGCAAGACCGTCGTCGTTGTACGTCAAGCGATGCCCTTAGCGAAGATCGATAGCTAACATACCGTTAGGTCGGCACCGTCACTGACGACAACCGCATGCTTGAGGTCCCCAAGCTCTCCGTTGCGGCTCTCCGCTTCACCGCCTCTGCCCGCGCCCGCATCGAGAAGGCCGGTGGTGAGTGCCTCACCATCGACGAGGTCGCTACCCGCTTCCCCACTGGATCCAACACCCTCCTCCTCCGTGGACCCAAGAACGCCCGTGAGGCCTTCAAGCATTTCGGCTTCGGTCCCCACTCCCACAAGAAGCCTTACGTCGAGAGCAAGGGCCGCAAGTTCGAGCGTGCCCGTGGACGCAGAAGGTCGCGTGGTTTCAAGGTTTAAGCGTGTGCTTACAGCACTCTTGGTTTCTCTGGGTTGGCGTGGTCATGGTCATGGGAATTCTTACGAGGCGCGCTTCATGACTGGCAAGGGCTCTTCGAAAGCCTGCAAAAAGATACTCAATGCTCAACATGAAATGAAAGCATACACATGGGCTCTCCCGAGCTCATGGTTAAATCATGAACCACCTTCCCTATGAACGTGCATGTCGTCACTATTCAAATGTCAGTGTGAGCATTTGCGAATTTCACATGCAGGATAATTTGCCCGCAACAGGTAATACTGTATAGCGATGTTGAACCACGAAGTTTTTCGCGTGCTAAATTTTCTGCGGCTCCCCCACATTCAGCCAACCAGCGCTAGCCAATCTAAACCACCCGACGTAATGCCCCGACTAGTCACTGCATCACTTGAGTTACTTGACATTGACAACAACTCTGGCAAAATGGTCGACAGTCGAAAAGTAGGGGTGCTAGGCGGCGGCCAACTGGGCCGTATGCTAATCGAGGCTGCCAACCGATTGAACGTTCAAGTCAATGTCCTGGACGTCGGGGCATCACCAGCAAAGCAGATATCAGCGCACGACGGCCATATCGAGGGATCTTTCAAGGATGCAGCGGCTGTAAAGAAACTCGCAGAATCATCCGACGTCGTCACTGTCGAGATCGAACATGTCGATACCCATATGCTGGAAGAGGTAGCGGGGCAGGTCGTTGTTGAGCCCAGCTGGAAAACACTACGGACCATCAAAGACAAATACGCCCAGAAACAGTACCTGAAAGAGCACGGAGTGGATGTCGCAGATAGTATCGATCTCGAAGGAAAGGGCGTTGCGGGGTTGAAGGAAGTAGGTTCGTCATATGGCTATCCGTTCATGCTCAAGAGCAAGACAGAGGCGTATGACGGTAAGGGCAACTTTGTGGTGAAGACAGAGGCGGACGTTGATGCAGCGTTTGAGGCACTAGGAAAGAGGCCGCTATATGCAGAGCGCTGGGCGGACTTCAGGATGGAGCTCGCAGTCATGGTCGTCAAGACAAAGGACGGCGTGCTCACATTCCCCACTGTCGAGACTGTCCACGAAGACAGCATCTGCAAGCTCACATACGCACCGCCAAGGAATGTAGCAGAGGAGGCTGCACAACGAGCCCAGGAACTCGCAAAGAAAGCTATCGGTGCTTTCGAAGGCAAGGGTGTCTTCGGTGTTGAGATGTTCTTGCTCAAGGACGACAGCCTGCTCATCAACGAGATCGCGCCTCGTCCCCATAACTCAGGACATTACACGATCGAAGCCTGCCCCATCTCGCAATACGACGCGCATCTTCGAGCCATCCTTGACCTACCCATCTCGCAATCTAGCCTCCGCCTCCGCGAGCCCTCCATCATGCTGAACATCCTTGGCGGCAAGACTCCAGACTCCCACGTTCAGGTCGCTAAGAGGGCTCTCGAATCACCAAACGCATCCATTCACCTCTACGGTAAAGGCGATGCGCGTCCCGGCCGCAAGATGGGCCACATCACCATCACAGCACCCACACTCGCAGCCGCCGAACGCGAGATCCAGCCTCTCGTCGACTTCGTGGACGCACAAAAGGGCAAGACCGTCGAATCACGCAGTTCAGATAGCTCCAAAGAAGAGCCCCTCGTCGCCGTAATCATGGGCTCAGACTCCGATCTCCCTGTCCTCCGCGCCGGCCTTGAGATCCTGACCAAGCTGCAAATCCCTTTCACCACGCGCATCACCAGCGCCCACCGCACCCCCGACTGGCTCCGCGAGTTCTCCAAGACGGCCTCTCAGACATCGCTGAAAGTCATCATTGGCGCTGCGGGTGGTGCAGCCCATCTACCCGGTATGTGTGCGTCGTGGACCACACTTCCCGTCATCGGTCTGCCTGTCAAGGCGAGTGTGATGGATGGCTGGGACAGTCTTGTTAGCATGACGCAGATGCCGCGTGGCGAGCCTGTTGCTACTGTTGGTATCAATAACTCGACCAATGCTGCGCTGCTTGCGGTGCGTATCCTTGGTGCGGAGGATAAGACGATCCGGGAGAGGTTGAGGGTTTGGATGGAGGGGAATGAGAAGGAAGTCATGCGCAAGGATAAGGCACTTTTGGAGGATGGGTGGGAGGCTTATCTTAAGGGCATGGGCAAATAGGCGGGGGTAAAAGTGAACGAAGCGTGTAGTGTCGCGCTGTCTCTGCGAGGTGGAATGCGTAGGTAGTCGGACACCTTTTCTCTCTCCAGAAGACTTCTGCAATCCTCTGTTGATGTCGTGAGTTTGTTGCATTCGCAATGTTGTGAAAGTATTTCGACGTTGAAGCTTGGTATGATGATGGTCACCATCATCACTGTTCATTCCAGCCTCGACAACGGCCCATTCTCCGCACAAGACATGAGAGCATCCCTGGCTCGTTTTGGTATCATGTCCTCCCAGATGGTCCCATCGTAAATATGCGATCGGTTTCAACACGCTCTTCTCACACGAAAACATGAGATTTTACGCTTTGATCTTCGAACACATCGGATAGTCTTGCATGTCTTTTAGAACACACCGCGAGCTCACAGTCATGTTGAGAGGGTGAGCTACTTTTGTAGAATGACTTTGGAATGTGTGGGTAAGAAAAAAAGGAAGAGCAAAAAGCGCAGATCTTATAGCTGAGGCGAGGAGAGTGGCAGCACATCGATTTGCGGATCCATTCTTTTGGACAGCTTCTCTTCCTCTCCATATGACAGTTCTGGCTTTTCTATTTTTAGAGTGGCTCTTCAAAGAGTAGAGGCGAGGGGAGAATGACATGCCACCTGGCGGAACCACTTTCAGAATACGAAGGTTCAGTATCTTGCCTGATTAGACATAAGATGTCCCCCAGGTGTTTTTTGGAAGTAGGATAGAACACATGGAAAACTTTTGGATATTCAAGGTGCGAAAGGGCGCGGAGAAGGAAAGACCCATCGAACAGTATGTGACGCTTTTTGGAGAAGAAAGGAGAACTGTGGTGTGTAGGAAGAGAGAAAGTAGGAGACAGAGAGGCGACTTTATATGCGTCCAGAGTTGTCCGGAGGGCGCACTCATCGCGGGGAACCGATATGTTTTGAACAAGGAAGCACAATCTTTCCATGTTCTGCTGCTTCAGCACTTTTTGAATGCCGCCGTATGTGTTCAAAATCGGCACATGAGGTTTCTCATTCCGTGGCTAGAGAAGCGGGGAGACGACAGGCGCATGTCTTCGGTGTAATTGTTTTTGAGAAAGAGGGAAGGCGCAGACATGGTTCTGTTGTTCTCTGAGTTTGGAAAACGGCATGCAAGTATAATATGATAGAAGGAAGGCAGAGATGGCAGACTGCAGACTGCAAATATTTATATACGTCTCTCTCTCTATGCGGACGGAGACATGTCGTATTTTCGCACGCTTTTCATGTCGCGCTTTTTGCTCCCATCCGTCAACATCTCCATCATCAGTCATCGTCGATTCTTTGGATGTTTTATAGCCGCGAATTTCGAGCGAAACGCGGCATGTTTTGTACCGAGTCAACTTTTCTTTTCGAGAGGCTTAGAAGGAGGGCTTCGCATGAACCGATGAACACCAAGATCCTTGTGACACAGTCACATGTAATGATAGATTGGCCGTTTTGGAAATAGGAGGAAAAGGAAGACAGGAAACTCGCATAAATCATTGACAACGTCATTTTGGAAAAATGCTGGAGGAAGGTGGTGTGTAAGAAGTGGAACAATGTGGAGAAGTGACAGTTTATATACTTCTCGTGGGAGCGGTGTAGAGGCGCAAATAGATGACGGATATCTTCTTTCTAACACTCGTTCATCTTGGGCGTCGAATTTTCAATAACATGTTCCTTTTGAGAGGCCGATGATGTGCGGCGTACGGGCTTTGAGAACATAAGTCTTGCAAGCATTAATTTAGAGAACTTAACGCGAGTATAGATAGACGAAGGTAGCGTTAGACTTAGTGTACTACGCTAACCTAGGTAAAAATTAAACAGCCTAAAGCCTACGTTAACGTTAGGTTACCTACTTTCTAAAGTTATAGGTTAATGTAGTCTGCAGACCTGTTTAGTTTTTTTCTTGTGTAAGGTAGTGCTATGCTTTAATCTAAATGTACTAGTACATGATAATTGGTATGTTTACTAACCTTTGGAAACGTCTGATCTCCGCTCGCGCCCAGCACTTTTCTCAGCCGACCTCTAAGTCAGTGTTGCTCTTCGTGCCCATTTTCCCAGCGGCTATCCACATCTTTCCAAAGTTACCCTCCTTGTGCCAGCCACACTATCTCGAGGTCCTTAAACTCCTCATATGCCCGAAGACGTTGCTCAACCGGAGGCTGCTGAACCGGAGGCTGCTGACCTAGTATCCCTATCCGCTGCCGCCTAATCTTGGGCTTGGTCCGCACAATCTCGAGTCGCCGTAAGCCAGAGAGTCCAGTAAAGACATTCGCGTCGCCGACCTGCAGGTGACGTAACAAAGATTCTACCTCGTATTCACGCAGCTGGACTGTCTGAATAGCAAGCATATGTGCGGACGTGCTGAACAGATTGCCCCTGGACTCGACCTCGACTATTGGGCTATTTAGTACAAAGACGTTGAGGCGGTATGCTAAGGTAGCTGTTTCGTTGTAGATCTGGCGACAGGTCTCGGGGAGGTGGAGCGCTGATTTGAGTGGCCTGTAGCTTGTTCGCTGTTCGGGATCTGCGTATGTGTATGCCCACCCGCGTAAAATCTTGGAGGAGGAACCCAAGAGGAGGCTTATGTAGGGATAGCTTAACGCGTACTGTAGAGATGGAGAGGCGATGTCAGTGGATATCACAAACAAATGTCGTGTATCCAGGTCTTACCTCCCATATTTGGTTCCGGAGTTCGCCGGGGAGTTGTAAGAGGCGAGAGGTTGTCGTGTTACGATGAGCACTGCTTGCGTCAGTAATGTGGTAACAATCAGAGCGGGGAAATACTGACATTGCGGCGATGTGTTCAGACATGTGGGTGACATCCACCAGCCCACTTGCTAGGATGACTGCCTTGCTGCTGTTGTTTTGCTGTAGCGTCATTGACGCAGAATTATCGGGTTCTGGAGGATGTTCCATGTTGGAGGGTTGGGGCGCGATAGAGATTGTAATGCGATATCCAGATATATGTATTTCGTGGTTGGTTGCAGTTGTGTAGATGGAGCTGTGTGATGGAGTGGCTAAGCTGAGCAGTGGTGCGCAGTACTTGACCTGGAAGGAGAGCGCCCATTTCACTTGCTCGAGTAATCAGTGCGCTGATGTCGCCCCAAGGAGACCATTCTTGTTTCATTGAAATGTTCCAGTAGCGACTCTTGTTCGATTCTGTATCCATTACGTTTTAGCTACCATATGCCCGTGACAGAGCCTCTTCTTCCAGACCCAATCGGATTCTGACTTTCCGAGCCTGATACATTGTTGAAAATTGCCGTAGCGACCCCGAGTACCGAAGAGTACACGCGTAAATACCTATATACCACTTGAAGCCATCGCAAGAGCTAGCTGCTCCATGGATCATTTCCAACTAAAAGTCAACGACGGCCTATCCTCTCGATCCCGTATCCGCTGCTCCAATAGCTTGCGGTAAAACTCGGCTCCTTTCATGGCGCGGGTTCTCTTGTCGTATGGATCAAGGTGGTCGAAATCGTGGTACCCGTCCACGGTGCCGGGGGCGAGTTCCAAGTGTGTCAGACGTGGGAACAGTTTAGTGAAACGATCGCCCTGAGATCGGAATGCTTGATACAAGCCTTGATTCTCGGTAATCAGAGGACATTGACATGTCAAGTCCCGCAAGCATGCCGTAGACATACGTAGGAATTCGATGTTTCGAAGAAGCGCGTGCTTCGAGAGCAATCGAAACAGGTATTCCTGACTGATCTTGAAAGTGGCGAGTGAGAATATCAGAAAACGCGTATCTGAGTGGATCTGTCTCGAGGTTGCTGGTAATTGAAGGGCAATATCCTTTGTTGTCCTGCCATCGTCGCTTTGGGGAATCCCACGGAGCTTTGATTTTGTTCTGTCGCTGTCATGGCGATATCTTATTAATATATAGGCGCAACTCATGGAGTATTCCCAGATCTGGTTTCGGATTTCGGGTGGTAAGCGTAGTAGAGGTGAAACAGATGCGTTGCGTTGTGAGCTGTTCAGTTAGCAATGCCCGACTGCAGTGGGTTGATTAGGTATCTTACATTGCTAGCTTGTCTTCTGGCACCAGAAAGGTCTGTTCATCTTCCTGGTGCGAAGGAGACAATGTGTTCTCTAATCGTACACGCATTTGGCTTTTGTGAGACATCGTTTTCCGATGCCTTCGGTATTCGCGAGCGCTAGTCTTCAGGCTTTGGTGTCGCCTGGTGTGGAAGTTGCGATCTCGGGTAAGAGTAGATTCAGAATTGTACATGGGGGTTGCGAGTCGAGGTCTTGAGGTTTTGAAGTATAAGTTGAGCGAGATGGAGGCCTCATGTATATATTGTATGCTAGCCTCCAAGGAATGTACTTCGGTTGAGATTTCCGAACTTTTGCTGCGTACCAAGGTTGGGGACCAATTGAAGCCAACGCTTACAATTAATACATCCACGGGTGGGTGTATCCGTATGATAGGCTAGATCTCTTCTTTGGGAGTCGCCTCTTTGTCATCTTCTTCTCCAAGCTTCGCCTCTGTATCTTCCTCTTCCTCTGTGTCCTCATCACTCTTCCTCGAATAAACAACCATCCCATTCAGCGCATTCCCATGCTTTTCAAACTCTCTTAGCGCCACCTTTTCTCTACCCTCTATCCACTTTTTGCCCACCTCATTGCACTCCTCTAGCCGCTCTTTCTTCTCCTTCGTTTGCGCATATACACTATAATCATCCAGCATTTCGTTGCCTACGTACAGCACCGGGTCTTTCGATTTGAGGAAAGTTGGTAGAAGAAGGAACCAGTCCACGAATGGCGAGTAGACGAAGGATCTGGACGTGATACGGGCCTGGAGATCGGATTCGAGGACTGTAATAGAGAGATGGGATAGCAATTCGATGTCAAGAGGTGTGAAGGCTGGGTCCTGCGCGAAACATTGTATCTTGGTGTCCTTGTTTTCGTCGTTGACTGCGTGGAAATTAGTTATCTCTGGCAGATGCGAAGGGTGAAGGTTGAATAGCATACGCCGGTTGACTACATCGACCAACAGTACAAGCTGCCACAGACTCCTCCACCGATGCGCCCAGTCTCGACTGAAACTGCCGATGCCAATGCATACTGCTTCTTCAACACCCCATTTGCCATCAGCGCTCCTCTTCTCCATAATCTCTTTGATTTGCTTTGCAAGCAGCGTATCTTCCCATCGCTCTTGAAGGAGGCGAAAGTCGTCCAATAATTTCTCCGCCGTCAACCCCTCTACTATCTTCGTAGGCAAGGACCCAGCATCTGCCTCCTTCTTCCCATTCCCATCAAGCGAGATGCTCGCCAAGCCATGAGTAATAACGGTCCACCCATCATCACTCTGCACCTCCTTCCTCTTAACACGGCCTCTTCCTTTCTTGCTCATATCTCCCAACCACACACCTTTCTTTACTCAGTCTCGGCAAAAAGGAAACCAAGCGCATACTCCCTTCACCACAAGCGCGCCTCAAACCCACAATGACGCACACCGCAACAGAAAAGGTACACCGATCGTCGCGTCGTCGACTTAAGGTGCGGCTTGCATGGGCGCGTAAGTAAGGCGTGGCCAAAGTATCGAGGGCGAGGCGATGACGGGAAGGGGACCACCTGGGCGCGTAGAAAATCATCGTGAGAGGCCAGGGTCTGGTTGGGTTTTAGTGGGGAAAGGGAGGCTCGGAACGGGATTTCCGATGGCGGAATGGCGGCGAGCTTGGCTGTGGCCCGCACAAACCACAGTAAAGATTGTGTGGGAACTGTGCCTCCCTTGATTAGGGGTCTGCTATGGCCTGCAGCTGTAGTTCAAGCCATCCGCTCGCAGCGGGGTTGCGCATGCGGATCAGGCGTCCTGCTGACGGCTTATATACACAAGCTATTTTTTGTTGTAGTCGGTATAAGCATGACGGCATATAGCTTACGGTGAGTGAGCAAGTAGTGGAAATGCAAGTGTTAGGATTATGGATGGTATTCGATGTGTAGCTTCTGTACATCATACCGCACAGTAACGTGTTATGTGCCCATAAGAAAGACCGTCATAGCTGCTGCACAGCTGGTCCACCAACCACCCAGATCAAACCACTGCGTACGCTCTAAATCGAGATCGTCGCTTCAAAAGAGACCGGATATCTTTCGCGCCAAAACTCCTTGCCCATAAAAAGACTATATTCGCAGATAAAGATCAGGTTCGTGCACTAGACGACCCATGTAATCCACGACGCTGCTGCTAGCATTGCCGGCACTATGATCGATGCATAGGTGTTGACGACCATGTTGTGTGGCGCCGGCGATGATGTTGTGGAGTATACGATTTGGAAGCCAATGTGGTCGTCGACGCCTGTTGTGTTAACGCAGTTTGAGCTGTTGACTTCGGGAACATCCTCTGGTTCGGCGAAAGTGATGTCGGCACACTATTGGAATCTATTAGCAACTATGCGGTTGTCATGTTCAGGCGCTTGCGCTCACGTTGTAAAGAGCAGCGCCGTGTTGCGCAAGCTCAATAATCTGGATAGTCGCATTGTCTCCAACCTGGGGTGTGTAGTTGGCAGGTAATGGAACTTGTGGTAGACAGAAGGAACCGGGGTATTCCTGATTTGTAGGTCCTTGGATCTGGAAGACTGGCACCATTGTGTGCGAGTAGTTTAGCGGTTCGTTGCCGTAACCCATGTTGACGTAGAACATGGCGAGCGAGTGGCCTGGGAACCATCCGGGTTGGATTGCGACGGCGCCGCCGTTGACCGGCCACTTTGTGCGATTTTGCGACATTGGCATGCCACCACCTAGAAGTTCATGTTAATTATCTTCTCCTGCGCGGGATACCCAATCGGGAAAACGTACATGGGTACATCCATTGCATGCCGTATGGAAATCCATATGTGCCGGTGTCTTCGTGGTAGTTGATACCGATCGAGCCATCAGGAATCGATGGGTCTGTGTCAGACTTGGTTCCGTTGGTGTGGATGTTGTTTCCTCTCCATCCTGGGTAGACGATAACGGTATGTGCAGTAGCGAGCGACCAGGTAGCGGCGATAAAAACGAGCTCGGTAAAATGAAACATTTTGGCGGTGCAATGTGAAAAGCAAAGACTGTTGCGAAGCGGAAGTCCTTGTCTTTATTGATTCAGTGACCCGTCAGCTTTGGGGTACACGATTTGATGGTAGTCGACGCAGAACGGGCAGCGTGCGGTGGCGGGGGGCATCAGCACTTATGGATTACGGGACTTGGCCTCGAGGGCCTCGTGCAACCATGGCATTGCTCGCCAAAGAGACGCTTCAGGCGAATGAACAGAGCAAAACGGGCCCGCCAGCATGGCCAGCCTTTGCATGTCAGCCCTCGAAGCATTGAGTAGGCAGCGAATAGGCACGTCGCTAGCATATTGAATCTACAGGGGCCAGCGACCACTGAGCTTCGCGTATGCAGGTCTTGTCGGGCGGGAGGGAAAGCCTCTGTCGAGGCGGAGCGAATAGCGTCCGAGGTGGCCATGCGCATGGCGCCTCTGATTTGCAGAGGCGTGTGATGACTTTGCAGAGTCTCGGCAGTCCGGCCAGGCACCTCTAAGCGCCCAACTACTCCAGAGTCCACATGCCCACCAGCAGACAGCGAGGAAGGTTTCCGGATCTGAAAATTGCGGTCTCCCGCGCGAATCGGCCGTGATAGTGTGACCAAGGCGTGATGCAGAGTTGTGAAACGCCGCAGCTACACCGCGTGGGCGACGTCTTTGTTCGGGTGAGAAGAATGCTGAAAGACGCAGACAATCGCGCGCGCAGTCAGCTAGCCGCCACTGGCCCCCAACGGACGGCGATCAACGCCCTCGCCGCAATATAATCCCCAGCTGTCAACATGCGCATGTTTCTATCCTCATATCGCTGCATGAAGGCTGCAGTGCGACAGCTGGGGAAGGCCGAGTGTCGTCGATGCTGATTGGGAGCTTGTTTCGCCGCCCCTGGTCGCTTGGAAGTGTCCACTGCACCGGGACGAACGAAGCCTCCATTCGCAATAACCAATTGCTTGAAAAGGTATCCCTTCTGGGCCCGCGTCGTGCCGAGCGCACCAGCACACCATCCGCGTAGTGCCATCTTTCCTGCGGTTCGCTGCTAGTGTCTGTCTGTACGGCGCGAGGTACCGCATTCGTACTCCCCTTGCTTGAGTTGAAGGAATATCTTTGCGCACCGCGGTTAGCAGCGAACAAGCATCGCTTTAGCCAAGCGCCATGAGATTGTAGATCGTGTTGGACGCAGGGTGCACGGGTTCGTTGATTTTGGCGTCCGGGATAACGGTTGCGTGCGGTACGACCGCTGTTGATGCTGCCAGGTGTGGTGCCATGAGCGCCTTCCTTGAGCACGGAGAAACCATGGCCACCTTCCCGCGATGAGGCTTCTTGCCCCGTCACTCAGATCATGCCTTCCAACATCGCAGGTGTAAACAGTATCCACCTTACAGGTCCTTTCTGGCTCTGCTTGCCACCAACCGTCCTGCATCGATATTCTTCGATGACCGCGGCGTTCACCGAACATTATTACTCAGTTCGATCTTAACTTCGGTCAGCACCCGAAACCCAAGCTACTGACATGTTGTCGCTCGTCCCAGCGCGGAAGAGAAAGGAAGCCCATAACGCGATACAACTATCTCGTGATAAAGGCAAGGTCCGCGTCATCGAGCGATCAGCAGAAGGGTACTCCAGCGGCTCCACGAAGAACCTACAGGGGCGCAACAGCACCCCTGCTAGCCGTACCTTCACTACACTTCGTCGTGGAAGCATCAGGATCTTCTCAATCTTCCGCAATGGCAAGAGTTGTCACCCATTTCTGCCTGGTACCTCTTAGCTTCTACTGATAGTACCAACAGGTTCCGCTCCAAGTTCCGGCGAGGCTACCTTTGGTAGCACTGGGTCAACGGTCAACAAACCAGCAGACGTACCACGTGCCGATAACATCAATTCCTACTCCAACTCTCCTCTACAATGCCCTATCGTTCCCGATATACCTATGATACTACCAGCTCTCTCTTTAGACCCTGACTCTTCATCGTTACTTCAACTCACAAACGCTGCTGTCTTCGACGGCGAATCAGAACCTATACCAAGAACTCGCACTCCACCTCCTACACCCATGGCAACAAGCTGGTCGACGCCAAGTCTCTCGCAGCAACTGACGACCAAGCTCTCCAACGCCCTGATGAACAACGATACGGTAGTGCGTCGACGCAAGCTAAGCTCTAGGCCAATCGTTCGAACGGACCATTTCAAGCATCCGAGCGATGACCACCGAACTACCACCTCACCCAAGAGCCCCATGTCAGAGGTCCCTTCTCTTCCGTCAAGCGTCCTAAGCCCCTCAAGCAGCGTCGCACCTTTGAGTCAGTCCACTGCACCGACATCGCTGGTCTCATCAGGTGCACCACTGTCTGCTGAGACCACCTATCGAACCCAAAACGGTCGCCATGTAACCGACAATCAACCCGCGCTCTATTGCGAGGCGACCCCAGAGCGTTTACCTTCACGATTTCTTGTCTTCCCACGTCAAGACGCACCACGACTGTGTGAACCTTCCATTGCGACCATCGAGAACGCAGCAGCGGCGAAGATCTTCTTCGAGTCACACTTCAACCAGCTTCTCGGTACCAAGGTCACGCCACGATCCATGCGTCGCCGTCAAATGGAGCGGAAGGTATTTACCATGGCCATACAGAATGAGCAACGTCACTCCAAAAGGCGAGAATGGTATCTTGCGGAGACACATCATCTGCGGCAAACCCGTGTCATGAAGTCGAATACCCTAGCGCGTCAGACAATGAAAGGAGTGCACATTTCCAATTACGACATCGTAAGAGTTCTCGGGAAAGGTAGCTTTGGTGTTGTCCGTCTCGTTCGCGAGAAGAGCGACAATTGCGGAAGTCTACGGGGAAGCAGCTGCAGTATGGGATATCTCGATGGCTCATTGACGCCAAAAACTGATAGGCCTTCCCCGACAATCCGCAGACAAAAGCAAGTCTTCGCCATGAAGGTCATCAGAAAGTCGGATATGCTTCGCAATAGCCAAGAGGGACATTTGCGAGCAGAGAGAGACTTTCTAGTCGCGTCGGAGAATGCGCGATGGGTAGTTCCTCTCATTTCTGCTTTCCAGGACAACAACAATCTCTACCTCGTCATGGAATACATGATGGGCGGCGACTTCCTAGGCTTACTTCTTCGCGAAGACATCCTCGATGAAAACGTAGCAAAATGGTATCTCGCGGAGATGATATTGTGCATCGAGGAGGCACACAAGATGAACTGGATCCATCGCGATGTCAAGCCCGACAACTTCCTGATCACGTCGTCTGGTCATCTCAAGATCTCCGACTTTGGCCTCGCCTTTGATGGGCACTGGGCTCACAACCAGACGTACTACAATG